ATACTTTTCGTAGTTGCCTAATCGTTATCTAATGTAGAACATTTTTTTTCTTTTTTCTGTCCCAGACTTTTACGGGAAGACACATTTGAGCAACATTTTTTCGGCTTGCTCGAAACAAGCGCTGCCGTAATGACTGTGTGCTTTGTTGTGAAGAGCCCCAAGCAATCCCACAGGGGAAAATTTGACTCGGATCCGTAACATTGCACAGCTAACATATACATAACATATACATTAAGAAGTTACATTGACAAAGAGTCTGATTTTTGTGATTGTTTTATCATATGTTCCTCTTAGATCAAGTTGGAAACGAAGCGCCATGAATTCGCCTGTATGACTGTGTGTCGGAAGTCGAAGAATATCTTGGAGGTAGAAAGGGAAGGGAGGATGGGGGGAGGAGGGGGGGAATACAAAATGGCTCAAAGTGGGAAGGAGTAGTAAGGGAGTGGTCATTCTGCCCAACCAACATCGACGTTCTTGCCCCTGGTTAACAATAGATATCTGCATATAGCCGCATATCCTATAGTTATCTGCTGCCATAACAATTACTTTTCGTCCGATATCAGATAAATTGTCTCATAAAGTATCACAAATGGAAATTGATGAGCTAAGCACAAAACTCTCTTCGAATTTGAAGTTGTGACGAGGCAAAGATCTGCGACCAATTATTCCGTCGCCGACTTGAGATGGAGACTCAACTAAGAGAAAAGCGCCTTTTCCTAGTAGTTATGACCAATGACCATGTCAGACTACCCAATACGCAGACAACGCAGTCAGCTATTAGCAAAAATTAGGTTAGAAATTTCGGCTTAACATTGATAATAATAATAGTATTGATATGTAATACATATGTTATCTTAAGAATGTCCTCTCTAGTGATACTAGGCTTTCAAACAAAACCAATAACGATTGAAGTCATCTTTAACCAATCCAATATCTGATACTCCCCTCCCTCCCCACTCGTTCGTGAGCGGCTTTCCATATATCTCTTTTAACTTGAGAAATAACCTCCGGGTATATAATTCTGGATTGAGGAAAAGTTTGAATGGTGTTCAAATCCTGTCATTAGGAAACAACTTCCTCTATGATTCGGTCATGCCCCAATCAGTTGTAAAGAGTAAAGATCTTACCATTTCGGGGCTGATGTAATACGGTGTGCCCACTACAGTTTTTGCTCCCTGAGCCAAGGTTTCTGTGCTCATGAGCTTGCTAATTCCAAAATCTCCAATCTTCACAAATCCATCTTTCATCAAGAACACATTCGCGGTTTTGAGATCTCTATAATTAATCATCAATGTTGCTGTAAAACAAATAAATCTGCAATCAATCCTCAAATTTTATTTTCAAAAATAAAAATATGAGCAGTAACATACTTCAATATGGTTTATGGAGCGTAAAAGTCTACTTAGCTCGCTATTGAGTAACCTGTATGTTGACTTATTGTGCCAGCCAGAAGTCACAAATTTACAACTACCTTAAATTGATAGTGCAACGGAATGCTAACAGCAAATTTCCGTCCTTTTGCAGTGAATTATAGCACAAACAACATGGGAAGAGCGATGTCAATTTCCCAACAAAATATACTATTGGTGCGGCGAACTGAGAGTTCAGAGCTGCGTACTGACACGCTCAAAAGTTGTTAACCATCTGGCGGACATCTATAGAACGATTTATATAAAAACGAATGAATATGTAAGGCTAAAAGTAGGAGCGATTCGGTGCAGTTACTAAGTTAGAGTTGATTGAAGGCGCAAAACTTTTCGAGACGGAAACTTGCACAGTTAATATGTGTGAATTAGAAATAAGTAGGCGAGATTCTAAAAATTTTGAGCAAGCACATTTCTATGTGTAAAAACATGCAGCTTTCTATACATTTATATTTCACAATTTCATACTTCTGAACCGAGCTCACCTGTGTAGAACGTTATTGCTGTGTAAATAGGAAACTGCAGATAGCATCTGAGTCATTAGATCAATCACAATATCTTCCGGGATAAATGTTTGGCACTTACTGAGGTACTGTGCCAAAGTTCTGAAAAGGAGATATTAACAATGGATCAGCTTTGAAAAGTCCAATTTCACCATTTCGCCTTATATGAACATTGGGTCGAAAATTTACTGCGACACTTCATATATTTCGAAAATTTACAATTTAGCCTACGGTAATTTTTAATTGTAATAGCTTAAATTTTCAGTAAGTAGAGAGCGCTATAATTCTCATAGATTTGTGCAACCGTCTACCACAATATATATATAT